TACAGAGCTCGTATTTATACCAAAAAACGCAAAAAATTACGTTCTATCGACCTATGCCAAAGAAATTTTAATTTCACCCCACTGTTGCCACGTTTCGGCCAATTTTTCAATTTTCGTAATTATTTAAGATCACGTTACCGCCTATAAAAGTGTTTGCAGTTGGTGGGGATTGAATAAAAACCGGTCGAAATTATTGTTCGTTCGATTCCGCNTACACCCATGCACCACTCACAATTAGATATCAATCAATTACATTAATATGCGTAGAATTTTTTTTAACGGAATAATATAGTTGTACTTTTGAGAATTTCAGCTTTTCAACAGCTTATTTTTGGTTAATTTTACTTTTATGCCGCACGGCAGAGAATGGGAAAAAATTTGCCGAACCCCCACCAGGAAGGTTAGAAATGAAACCTCTGGTGACGCGTAACCAGTGTCGTTTTCTAACTTGCGAATCTATTGAAAAACATTCACCGTTATATTAAATTCTTTGGAGACAATATTTCAATTCGATTATAGGTCTTCAACTTTGACAAAGTAACAAACATATGCATATGATAAAATTATCATCTATGCCATTAGTAACGCAGTAGGAAAATACGGACTGAATTTAATTGGTTGGTCGCTAGAAAAAGTTAACTCTCAACAAGTTCAGTATGAATGCATGTGCCCCTAAGAAGACTCGCGCTGGATGAACTTCAAGGGTCATTCCAAAAGTAAGTTTTCCTATTTAATTTCTCCAAGAGTAGTGTGGTTAGAACAAATCTGTAAAGACGTGCTTCTAGGAACGTTTTCAGCTTCCTGAGGAACTCTAGTTTTTATAATTTGGATCAGTGGTTGCCAAGATATTGAGGTTTTCTCGCAGGCACTTCTTCACTCCGCGGGTCCAGCTTGGTCCAAACGAGCTGAAAAGCACCAGACGAGGTCTGTCCAAGAAAATCTAGATAATCTGGAAAACCGCGGAAATCAAGGAAAACTCTGTCAACGCGTATAATCGTGGCAACAGTGTTTTGGGATGTTCAAGGGGTATTATTAGTTGAGCATTTGCCACGTGGTGAGACAGAAGATTCTGAAAAATATTGCGAAGTTTGGGAAAAATTTTAAACACGGATTAAGCGTAAACGTCCGGGACTTTAGACGCACCAAGTTTTATTGCTGCATGATAACGTACGGCCACATGCTGCAGTGGATTCTCGATCTTTGCTAAATAAGTTAGGATGGGAAATTAGAGAGGGGTAGAGCGGGAAAAAATCATTTACTTGTAAGACCCCCAAATAGCCTAAGGCGGGACCTGGTTGATAATCACGTCATCAAAGGTGCTTTGATTTAAACAATTACAACCTCGTTCTGCTACAAAATAAAATCTCAAGTCGTAAATACACTGGGAAAAAACACATTGGATCTAGAGTCCAGACTCTTAAAAACCTCGACAAGAAAAATACTCTTGATTCAATCAGATTTAAGCTTAAATCAAGAACCAATTTTTAATTGCTTAATTGCTTAATTTGAGCGGATTTTCTTTTGGTTTAAGCTTAAATCTGATTGAATCAAGAGTCCTTTATCTCGTCAATGTTTTCAAGAGCCTGGACTCTAGATCCAATGTGTTTTTTTTTTTCCAGTGTATGTCACAGGGAACGGGGCGGCAACCCCGTAAAAAGCTGTCTGGATGCGCAGATCATTTGCATCCCTCAAATTACGGCTTGCCACGTTGAATACAGACGGCAAAACCCGAATGTTTGAACATAAGGAATCTCGGGAATAACGAGAGGATACGGCATCCGGTATCGGAGCCATAAGCTATGCGGACTCGATTGAAAATTCAAAGAAAATGCTCCAACGGCCTGCGGGCGGAGGGTGGATCTTTTGCATTCCTCTCATTTTCTCCGACAGAGGAGAGCCGAATGAAAATACGGGGAGAGAAAGAATATGAAATTATGATAAAAAGTCTAGAGCTATGATTGGGGCTAGTGAAGTACCCGACTTCACTTCCCACTAATTGAAGAGCACTCCGTCAAGAGCACGGGTCTCCCTGCCGCTCCTTCGGAGGAGGGTTTAATGGCTGCGCTTCACTATGGGACCTCCGATGCTTATTAAAAGGCGGGGGGAACCACACTGAGAAAAAACTATGGTTTATAAACCTATTAGAGGTAAATATGGAACACCTATAATAGTCGTAAATAAACTAATGATTCTCGGTCTGTGAACCATACTAAGGTCTCTGTACCTAATTAAGGTACAGAGACCATAACTAAGGTATATGTGCTATTATTATATGTAGAGGTACTACTATTAGTGGTGTTCCATATTTACCTCTAATAGGTTTATAAGCCATAGTTTTTTCTCAGTGCAGATAACATCCATTAGTTGAGCGCTCAAAAGACGCGAGGTATTACTATTATTAGCAGCTGCCGAATGTGAGCGCACTAATGAAGATTTAACTTAAAGCCTAATTACTAAAACAAAAAATCGTCTTCGTCCAAAAACGCCGTGTTTTGACGCAAATGATTCCTAAGAGGGAGATCGTCATGCAATTTCCGAGTCAATTAAGAGCCTCTGGAGGAGGTGCTTGTGTGTGCCACTGCATAGATGCGATGGCAGGGTCAAGTGAGTCATTCAACTACCCACTAAGAGGACAAAGCTAGTGTTCATTACTCTCCAACCAGTTCATTCGTGAGCCGCCGACTTGGGGATGAGATAAGTGCCCATCACCCTCCACACAGCGCAGGTGATTCCAGAAAATATAACTATTTTACCTATTAGTTGGGCACCATAGTGGCATCTAACTGATGTTTGTCTGGCTAGTAGGATTTTAAGTATGACAGAAGTTTTTGTTCAAAAGGCTAATGTTGTGGCGGCCCGCTATGGGTTTCCTGTAGGATTCTGAGTAGAAAAGTTTGGTGCCCGGAAAACCCCTCTATCCAATCTCACAGCTAGGCCCATTTTCTATCGGGTCAAGGGGTAAATTGGGATTTTTCTCCAAAGAACTTGTAAAATAAAGAATCACACTGGACCAGTTGATTGATGAATGTTAACAAGAGGGGAACTTTATTCGAAAGGATTGATTTTTTAAATATAAAAATATTTTACAAGGGCCAAATAAAATTTACAAATTCGAAAGAACATATAAAATAATAGAAAGAGCACAAAACAAGAGGAATGATGATGCGGAGAATACAGCGTACGAAGTCTTTAGCAGAAATACAGATATTCAAAGCAAATGTGCATCAAAACTGGGTTTATTGCTTTGAGCCATTCATGTATGTGGACCAAAGGAAAAAAGCTCGCTTTATTTACAGTACTTACATAAAGTATCAAGTAATGAACTGACAGAAAGTGAAACCGTGATTGATACACGAAAATTACAGCATACAAAAAATAGGTGATTAAGTGAAATATATTGGCTACTTTTCTTGACTAGCTTCAATTTTGACCACAAAGCATTAGATTTCGTGGAGGTTACTATTAAGTAAACCAAACATTTTTATCTTGACGGTTCCGCGTGTTAAACCAAAAAAATTAATCCTACGAAATTCCTTACGTATTTCTGAATGCTATCCTATCATAGAAAATTTTAGAATACATTCGTCATAGGATAAAAACAATAAAACGTACTTCTTTGATGATTTTGATTACGACAATATCATAAAAACACCATTTTGCTTGCATAAGGTTTAAAGAAGTCATGGTCTAAGAAACGAATTTCAAAGGTGTCCGAGTTGTCTCATTACAGAAAACAAGATAGAAGAAAACCAACGGGCGATTCCGTTTGTCTATTCGACAAGTTCAACTTAAGATAAAAGTAAGCTATGCGATATGTCCTGTGACAAAATAACAATAAAAACATCATTGCGTGGTCTATATCCCGTCGAATAATCTATTGCATATCGGCTAGCAGGAAGGTGTTTTCGACTTGTCGATTGATTGACCCGATGAAAGGTTTGCAATAGCGTTCTTAGGAGTTAGATTAACACAGCCGACACATCAAATAGCTTCAGTCCATCTAAGTCTGATCTTGTCAACCAGACGAACTTGTAACTTTAGTAATCATCTTGCAGAAGAAATGAGTGAAACATCGACACAATTTAGGGAATAGAAAAAAGGATTGGACAAACGTAAAGGAAGAATAAAAAGCCTCGTTGAATAAGATGATATCGAACAAATTCTCCTTAAATGGAAGTTGTAGCGGAGAAACAGCCTCCGAGAGAAACAAGTAACCGTGAGAGGGAGATATCGGCTTGATAGATGAAAGTGGGGATGTAGCATTCTTGTTAATCATAAGAAGGAATTTTCCTGAAAAATTGTGTTTATAAAAGATCTTGTTATATGTAGTCTTCTTAAAAAACACAAAGATAAACCCGGCCTCAACGTCTCTGGAGGCAGCTGATCACAGCTAAAATTAGCTTCTTTCGGATGCTGCGTAAAAGTATAAAATCATCCTAACGACCTTCATATATCAAAAAACATTTAAATTATTTATCTTTCCATTGGTTTATTAATTCTCGGGTTTTTTTTTTTTTTTTACTGCAACAACTTTACTGAAGTAAATCAAATATTATAGCGCTTGTCTTTATTTTTTCTTTTAATTTGGATGATGATGATTTCTGCCCCTGTTGCTCAACGATCGTTTCCAATGCAGCCTATTTCCTTAGAGCGGCTGGGAAAATGCAAGCAGTCTACTTAGTGAGATACAATGTGGCTATCTTGCTTATATTTCATGAATTTTTGACAGTTTAGAAAAGGAATTAAAGAGCAGAGCATACTGTAACTACATTCATCATTAAAATTAGGACAAATCCGTGTGGTTACACCATTTGGCACATGTGATATCCATGTGGAGTACAAAAAAAGAGCGAGCAATGCAGGCTTAAACGAGGTGGTAGCATGAAAAATAAAACTACGACAACCTTTGAAAACAGCCTCAGTCACTGCGAACACAGACGTCTACGTTACTGTGTTACGTTGTGCTAGTTCTGCCTATGACTACCTTTTTACTTTTTTTCTCTTTTTCTTCGTGTTTTCTTCATAGGTGGTCATCTTATATACAAGTGCTCAGAATGGAACCCGAAACACTTCGTTCGGGAGTCTAAATGCTCTCATATCACAAGATAAATAATTTTAAAACGACTCATGGTATGAATACAAATTTAAACTATTACAAGTATTTGTAAGCTGCAATACATAAGCCTGACGAAAAGCTTGTGCGATGAACTGAAATACAAAGTTGTTTGCTCAAAAGAGAAACATCGCAAGAAGAGTAACTGAAAAGGAGTATTATGTAGTTTGGAGCATGATATGAATACTTGAAAAAACTGGTTCGTCGGCGCTTTTCCGGGAGGAATTCGTTGCAATTTATATTAAAATCTCGGGTAATTTTTGAAGAATTAGTATTGTTTTTACGGTACTTACCAAAAGATTTGCTTAAAAATACATTTCCAAACTAGTATTGCACCAAAATTGTACTTAAAAAAATATTCCTCCTTCATATAACAAATACCACGAGGAAGATTCAAATCCTCCTAATGACAGCAACTCCCTTCAGAACAGCTTATCTCGTACGCTAGCATCTTCTGCGACCGATTATTGAGTGAATAGACAAAGAAGACAAAAGGGATACGGTGGGATCCTGTTGGTGGAAGCGGGTGGTTGGCATAGACAAAGGAGGTAGGTGATAGACTAAATAACGGCAACCCACGAGAAACCCTATAGTTAGTCGATCATTTTCTCCCTGAGTCTAAATGAACTACCCATTTCAGCCGATAGCATCGCTCCATACAGCCTATATCTTTTTTGTCTGTCAATGTCAATAATTAGCCCACAGGTAAGGAAACGCATAGTTGTTACATTAAAGTTACTGGAACTTCAGGCATGAAGGAAGACGTATCGATGACTGCCACTTAAACCCCAAACGAGTTTTAACAGGGTGTCTAGTATTTTTTAATTTTGAAAAATCCTGATATTTTCCTGATTCTTCCTGATATTTTATGAAAAATTCCTGATTTTTTCGTTTTGAAAATTCCCGATATTTTCCTGATTTTTATCGACTCCTGGCACGGTAGGCAAAAAGCAGTAAGACTTTCTCCGCTGAGGAGATTCGCGTCAGAAAAAATCCTGATAAAACGTCCAATTTTTCCGATTTTCCTGATATTTTCCTGATCGGCCCAAATACCTGAAATTTTCCGGTTTCTCCGGTTTCTCCTGATGCTAGACACCCTGTTTAAGTTTCGAGAACATGAGTGTGACGTTGCAACGTCATGTTACGATCCCGCGAGCGGCGGTCCATCCGTGTTGACGGTTTCGGTGACGTCACGACGGCGCGAGAGCCAGGAACTTCCACCAGCGAGAGGCTTGGACGAAAAAATTCCATTGGATGGCGCTGGGCGAGGAGTCCGAACCTGGGTGACTTCAAAATGCACAGCACAGCAAGTTACCTGCACGTGAGAAGGGCGACGAGCAACACGAGCGGGAAATGCACGGTGAGACGGGAGGCCGCCCCCGTGCTGGGCTGGAGCCCGGAGTTGAGGAGGGTGTTGCTGACGTCGTCGGCGTTCTTGTTCAAGTAGCTCGGGCACGGCAACTGGTTCTCCGGGAAATCGATCACCGGTTTCTTGTTGACGACCCAGCCCTCGTCCTCGCTCTCGTCGTAGTCGTCGGTTAACTGCTCCCTGAAACACGACAAAAATCCATCCGGTAAATAAGACCCACGACCCTGAACCACGACTACGGACTAATTGTTCCGAGCCAAAATCGCTGTTTCTGGACCTCCATTTATGCTCCTATACCTTTGTTTTTCCTTTTGATTTCGAGGAGAAAGTCCTCTAAAAGACCACAACTGCTGACTCATTGTTCTGAATCAAAATCGAGGTTTCTACAACTCATTTTTGTTCCTTTACCTTAAATTATTTTTCCTACTTGATTTTAAAAAGTTCGACAAAACTGTGCCAGCTTGGTTGATCGAAATAGCTTATGACATTCTTTTAGAAAATCTAGATTTGGGCACGTAGGTATAATGACGGCTCCATTACAAGCGCCAAAAGATTATTAAATCTATTTAAATTTACAACAAAAGCATACATGATCCTAACTCCAATTCGAACGGCGACCGGAAAACGTTATCGCAAACATAACGGAGTCGCCAGCGGGACATATTTTACGCAACTCGTTGGAAGCGTCTGCAACTTTATTTTGATCTCCTGGATGATCTACACTTTAACAAACAACGATCCCGAAGATCTAGTCGTTCTTAGAGACGACTCTCTCTTTCCCTTATCCCTCCTACTAAAAGGTGAAGAGATTTAAAGCTTTCTTTGAACGAATTGGGATGGACAATAATCTTGAAAAGAACCAAATTGAGCGTTCCATTACAAAGATGAAGTTGCTTGGTTACACCCTAAACGATGGGATCCCAACTAAAACGCATGATGATTGGTTAACAGCTTTAGTTTTTCCTGATGAGTCCTTTGAAGATGTACAAAGCCGGGCTCTTGGACTCGATTATGGCAGCATGTGTTTTGATGGAAAATTTGCCAAGATGTGTTACAAAATAATCACAGCCACGCGGGCTAATTATTCTGAGCCAAAATCGCTGTTTCTGGAGCTCTATTTTTGTTCCTGTATCTTTGTTTCTCCTCCTGACTTCGCGGAGAAAATTCTCCGATAGAAACCGAGAATTTCCTTTTTTTCCCTCCTTATTCTCCCAGGAAAAATTAGATGGCTCTCTGGAATCGTGAAAACCCTGTCCCTGCGCTTGTTCTGAAATTGTTAATGTTTGAATTGATTAAAAGTAGCGAGTGCACTCCGGCCAAATCGTGAATTGAGGGAGCAAGACAGGAAATAAAAAGAAGCTATCTGCCAGAGGAGCTCTCGCAGGATCGCTGTCGGTGGTGGTTGGGTGTCACAGAGCCCACGGAAGTGCTATAAGAGTGGTTTGTTACTTAGTCGTTAGCGATCCGATTTTATCGGATTTTGGTGAACAATTTTGACCCCTGAAAAACCCGTTCAAATTTGCAGTATTTGAGTTCCGGTTGAAGGGCACATCGGCGAGAAAGTTTCGATGGAGTCCGAAAAATCCCTTTTGCCGCAGCCAAGATCTCCTTGGGTTAAAAACGCTTGTTACACAATCGTATAGTGATACTTCGTTCTTGTAGATTGGCCAAGAATAATGAGATCCGTCCACGGCAACATCCTGCGCTCAATATTAACCGATATATCGCGCTTTGAAAAATTCGGCTTAGGACGTCATCCACCGCGGTAGGGACACCCTTGCTTTCCATCGATGAGAGAGGCAAACATTCTTACTGGTTACTCATCGTGAAACTCGGATGAAGGCAAGGTGGAAGAAAAACCAATGGTCTCACGTCGTCGGCGGTGAATGACGGCTTGGACCGATTTCTTCAAAGTGCGATATCTCCGTGGAAACTGAACGCAGAAAGTTGTTCATCGGACGGATGTTGTCATTTTTAGCTAGTCTTCAAGAATCAAGCATCAAAACGCGATTCTGTGACCAGCCCAACTGACTCATTGCGCATTTCTCGGCCGTAATCCGCGGTCCTTGCCCCCCTATCAATGCACGGATTCACAAAGAATAAATGGACTTCATTTTGCAATTAGGAACTATAAACTCTGGCTCATCCGAAAAAACACGTATGTGCATAAGGAAACTGATGGTTCATACGTAGTTTTTATACTGAGTCAGAATTTATAGTTCCTAATTGCAAAATGTAGTCCAAATCGCGGCAGACGACCATGCGATTAAGCCGCGACGAGGGAAAGCTATAGGGAAATTCCCCGAGCCCTCCTCCGGAGCTAGGGGAGTCCCGCAGACCCCCTTTAGTGAAAAGTCCCACAGTCCCCCATTGGTGGGGAGTCTTTTATCACCCCCCAGACCCCCTTGAATTAGGGGCCCTTCTAACGCCGTTCACGAAGACTCCCTAGTTCCATCTATGGCCCATAGTATGCACCGAGACCTGTACCCGCCAAAAACCATTTACCAATTTTGAATTTAATTTTGAACATCAATGCTGTTCTCACAATCAAACCGAATTTCTTTGATTCGGGGTTTAATCCTCTGGCTGAATTAAACTCTGAAAAGCAAATCGAGGAATAATTTTCGATGAGGAATTGAGATTTCAATTCTTTGAATGATATTTACCTGAAGAAGTAAGTTTCTGTAATTTGCAGTGAATTGATGCTTATAATTTAGAGATGCTGGTATAATTCCAAACCAAAATTAAAAAATGCACTTATTTCATTGGTACCTAATGTATTTTACTGATTTGCCAATTCTGTTTCACAGGTGTAACTGAGGAGGTTGAAAATAACCACGCGTGGTTGAAAAGGCAATCTGAGCCGTACGAAGAACTCGCCAAGAAGTGGGAGGGCACTTTCTTACTACGGCATAATAATTTACAAGAAAATTGCAAAACAATAAAAAACTACATCGACTCTTATCCTGCCCTCAAAATAAGCTACGGCCATCACTTGGTAAGATAATACTTTAATTTTTCAGTAACAGCAGTACCATTCTGCTAATAAAGGTGGAAGTGTTGGAAAAGACGTGTATCCAAGGATGGGTGGGTTTGAAACCATGTTTTATTTTGAGAAGAAACCGTTACGATGGGGAAAATTTTGAAAAATGGATGTGTTCATCATCGAATTCGCAATGTAGGAACTTCCTTCATACGGTCGCAGTCGAATTGAACTGATCAAGGAGTAGCGTTCCGAAACATATCAAAATAATCACTATGAAACAGGTAATTTGGTGGTCTCTTCGCGGGAGATTGAGCCACTTGAAAAATGGGACATACATGTTTCTTTGAGTAAAAACTAGTGTAGATTCCGAATATTATATGAGTTTTCCCAGGGAAAAAATTTTAAAATTGAGGTTTTGGCCAGGTCATTTGGTCAAATACCACAGTGTGCGGCGAGCCACTCCGACCAGACTAGGCAAGCCCGACCTTTCCTCTCGCGGGTATGCAAAGGCGTCGGTGAAGACACCACCAAAAAAACCCCTGACAGCCAGGAATTCTGTGAGGAATATTGTGAGAGAAGATGCTTACGGGTATTTCGAGGAGGCTGAGTGATGAGCTTTCCGGTCGTGGACAGGGAGGGTGGATTGGTGGGCCGGTTTTTCGGGGCTGTCCAGCCCGTTGTCTTCGGCCTGATGGTCGAGCTCGTCGAGCAGCGCGCACTCCAGCTCCTCGAGCGTCGTTCGTATGTGCTCGTTCGGCGTCTCGTTCAGCAGCGACTGCACCCACGAGAGCCGGCAGTCGCACACGAAACGGTTTCCTGCGCATGACAAAAAAAAACACAAATTGTAAACCTTGTGCAGAGATGCTGATACTAAGCATATTTTATTTAAATGTTCGGTACTACTTTCGTGCCCGAACCTCCGAGTTTTCATTTTACGTATATTTGAGTTCAGAACTTCCGATTTGCAACGTTGGTGCGTGATTTTGGTACCACCTCGCGCACTGGTAAAAAAAAACCTCTTGGACCAATGCCGCGGTGCATAGACTTAAGAGTGCAGTTTAGTGTCGCCGGATTTAAGAGTCTTGAGCTCGTGTTTCAAGCGGCTTGTGAATTGAATCAATGCAAACAAACAAACAAACAATCCGGCGACAAGAAACTGCAACGGATCTGATTGGTCGAATCTGGTAACGACGGCGTCCAATGGTGTTGGTGATTGATGTAACAAACCGGGACCGAACTTGCCGAAAGGGTTCGGACCTTTTAATAAAATTCGCTTCAATTGTTTGCGGTAAATTTAAAGATGGATGGGGGGGGGGGGGAGGGGTTCACGTCACATTCGGATAAGATGGAAAGAAAACTCTTGCCTAGAGTTATATTTAACATAAAATCAAATCAATAAATTAGTGATTGAAATCAATGTGAAATTCCCGAAAGTCGATGTCTGTAGCTGTAAAAGTAGCGCCGTTTATGTGGAAGATTTAGTTTTAGAAATACAAGGTAATAAAAACTGTATCAAAAGATTAGTCAATTCTAGATCTGGTAAAAAAAATTTTAAAAAACAATCGTTCCCCACTAGCTTGCGGTAAAATGTTTCGATAAGAAAAAAACCGCTGAAAAACGAATTTTTTCGAAATTTTCTTTTGCGCCTTGTGGCGTCCCCCCCCCCCCCCCCTCCCCAGGCAGTTTCTAAATTCTAGATCTGACAACCATAAAGCTAGTTTCGGTGCGATAAAATAATCTGGGTAGTTCGACGATTTTGATCCCCTCCTCTCCTGTAGAAATGAGGAAAGAGGGTGGAAAGTGCGTTGGAAGGGACATTCGACTCGACAGTGAAATATCAATCTTTTCAGATGGCAACAGTGCTGGGGGAAACTGGAGAGAATCTCACTTGAGACCCATTAATTTCGATTAAGGTAAGGATGCACCCTAAGCTGAGACGTGAGACTAGAGGTCAAAACAGCCGCGCTGCCACCAAAAGTAAACTAAAGTTTAGGAAAAAGAAAAAAATTATGATACTCCTGTCTCTTTTTGGACGATTTACAGCTGCGTAAAAAAGCAGAAACCAAGTGCTTTTAGTTTTTAAAATACGGTGAAAACATTACAATGAGTGGTGACGCGACATAGTGAAACTTCTGATGCGAGTTAGTATATTCCGAGATTTCAGATTCAAGCTGACACCCAATTTAAGGGCCTAAGATGATTTCCTTCGGAAAAATCCAACAATTGTCAATCCCTTTTAATAAATTATTCGAACTTATTTGAATCTATTGATATTCACTAGGGAAGCATTTCTCATTTCCCTTTAATTACATTCAATGTTATTATATCCGTTGCGGAGTGAGAAGTGATTTACTCGTCGGTTCGGTGCTAGCAAATAACGCTGGTCAATTTTATTTTTCTTTCCGCTTTAATTGTTGCAGACGACACGGACCACGAAGGACCGGCAAAAGTTGTGAGTCGTATTTTATAACGGGCCCTTTTCTTCAAGATTTCGTACTTTCTTGGAAAAAAGCAAGCTGCCCGAGAGTAAATGATAAAAGAAACGTAAATAGTTTTGACTCGGGCACATACATCGCTTCAGCAAGAAAGACTACAAAAATTACCGTTGTCTTACTGACAATGTTACAAGGATGACAAACGAGGACGAGAAAAGAAAAGGGGGAAAAAACGCTAAGATGTGACCCGAACTGTATATAACAAGGTGGAGAAATGGTGCTGGGTTTAGACCATTTCGGGGGAAAAATGTTTTGGCACTTCTTGGCTTTGGTTTCCCCGCGAAATAATGTGGACCCAGAACCATTTCTTCACCTTGTTATGAACGAAGACACTAACATCGATCGAAACTGGTCAACTCAATGTATGAAGAAAAATGCATGAATTCGAGAAGTTTGTAAATTGAGTAACTAAACTAACTCCCGACAAAACCACGATCATCTCAGATTCTTAGGTATATTTTTGGTTACCAGTTGCATCGAATCATATTCTTTGACCAGACAAAATCGCTATTTAGAGCTAACTCTTCAAATCTGAAGCACAGAGAGGAGTGGCCTCAACTTTTGAGAAAAGGAATCAAAATCCATTCATTTTTGAAGTGTCTAAATCGAACAGTTCACAGGAATTTCTTCGACGAGATGAATTTCTTGTGGTATACCTATTTAGATATTGATGAAGAGAATGAATGAAGATATACCAACAAGAGTATCACAAGAAGCAGGTTCGTGAAAATAATCTCCTTCAGGAATGCTCCGGTCAGCTCAGTATCCTAACCCGGGATTCTTTCGGGTGGGATTTAACATCCATTGCAACGAAACCAAAGCGGCATGCATGTTTCAAGGGCATACCTTAAGCCAAGAATTTAATTCTTTGATTGTTAGAATCGAGCTCGGGGCGGCCCTGCTGGAATCTTAAACCTGTTACATTTTTCAATCAGTCAATCCCTTATTTCAGCCCCAGTCGAGATGAAAAAAAAAAACCTTTTTAACCATACCTACTTACGTCTCAAGTAGGCAGTCCTAAGTCTGCATAAAATGGGAAGGGAAAAGTTTTCCTGGTCGATAGTCCAAACTTAAATTAGCAGGTATGAAATGCCCGGGAACTAACTGATCAATTTTCGGTTTTAGCCACCGCAGCCGCGGGAACCAACAACTGTTATGCTTCTTTTAGCTTTTACGGGCTGCCAGTTATTCTTGGAAACGGGTACCAACTGCCATACTTCCGATGAGAAGACAAAACTAGACGACAAAGAAGAGAGGAGACATTCATCTTGCGGCGTTCGTCCATTCGTAAAACATATGAAAAAGAGGGGAGCTCTCAATACGCGTAAGAGCCTTCGGTCCCATGTGACCTCGACTTCGGCCGTTTCTTGCGCTACTCTCGTTCAATTTGGTCGTAATGCTTTCGACTTTCCCTCACTGTATCGCTCCGAAAACCTGGGTAACTGGATGAAGAAGCGGCACGTGCAGTTGAGAACAGTTGGACGGAAAGTGAGAAGGCTCGAAATCCGTTTCCTGAGGATGCGTCCCAAGATGCACGTTAGCTTCCGAAATACGTTGTTCCGATGGGGTTATAACGATATGTTCCCTTCAACTTCGATCTTCACGAATGGATTATGTGATATGTATTCCCTAGACTGTGTGTGTGTTTTCGAGCGAGGATTTTCGAAACAATGAAAGTCTTGATTTTATCGGTTATTCTATGAATTCACCGCCTAGTTTTTTTGTAAGTATTATCATGCATGCATAAAATTAAAGATAGATTGTTTACTCCATTAATATTAACAGCCGAAAAACCTGGTTTCGACCGGTTTTAGGCCGCCATTTTGAAATGAAGCAATGATTTTGAAAATCCAATGCCGAATTCGTTTTTCTCGACCCAAAAACCCCCGGATACCAAATTCCAAGTCGAATCTTTGATACAGCTTGGAATACCGATTTTCGACCGGTTTTAAGCTGTCATTTTGTTTCAATGATAAGTAGAGACTTTCGGTTTGCGCTAAAAGTTTTCTTTTATTATGCCCTTTTGAATGACGGGTCACAAGATGGGGGTTGCCATTTAATAAAAACCCCCTGGGTCACCCCAAAATTTTGACCCCCTCAAACGATAGTTTCTTTCGGTCCAGAAACTTACCACAAAGCTCGATTCTCTAACTCCATGCCGTTCAAAAAATGTCCGGCCGTCTTCAGACTTTTGCCCCACCCATATAAGAAAGCGGGAAGACAGGAATGATAATCCTCTGGACGTTGGACTAGAGGATAGGATTTTGGAGCTGGCGGTGACAGTGAAGGATTTAACGATTAAAATAGGTGTGGTACGCAAGAAAAATATGATTTCGGCCCTATTGATAAAAACAACAGACCCTTGGAAATTTACCCTGAAGAATTAACATCGCAGTCATTAAAAATGTCCACTTCCAAAGCCCTGGCTTTCACTGCGCACTTGGGATTATTAAGTACTCGATGTCAAAATTCCGGTTATAGTGATGAATTTTGGCAGCTATATACTTATACCTCAGCAGAGTTATAGATGTGATTTTTCACACAATTGTGAATAGCTTAATCAATGGTAGTTGCAAAGAGGCTCCCATAAGTAATGACCTCCTTTTCTGTTTTTTACCCCATGCACCCTAAAAACATTTCGAAGTTTTCTGGACTAGCCTATCGCAATACCTATCAATTGCAGCACCTGCTTTGAGACAATTAACACATTCTATTTAGCATAATCGGAACCTTGCTGATTCTATTTTTATTCATCACGTTATATTTCGCCCTTCATGGGGATTTCTTTTTCAGTACTAGATGAAAACTGGCTGTCCATGAGATTTATGGAGACGATGAGCCAATATATAACCCTGATAGACGACTCGAGCTTGCGGTCTGGTCTCCTTGGAGAAATCGCGATGCTGGTCGCGAAATATCGAGTAAGTAGCAATTTTAATATTTAGAATTAAGTAATGTTGAGTTTTTACTCTTATCCATCGTTAATAGTTTAATCAATGGTAATTGCAAAAAAGCTCCCATAAGTAATGACCTTCAAATTTTCTGTTTTTTACCCCATGCACCCTAAAAACATTTCAAAGTTTTCTGGACTAGCCTGTCGCATTACCTACACATTCTATTCAGCATGATGGGAAACTTGCTGATTCTATTTGTATTCATCAACATTTTATTTCGCCCTTCATGGGGATTTATTTTCCAGTACTCGACGAGAATTTGCTCTCCACGAGGTTCATGGAGGTCCTTAACCATTACGTGGGTTCAATCTCCAATCCTTCTCTAAGAACGGCGCTGCTAGCAGAAATAGCTACGCTAGTAGCGAAA